GAAGTCATCCTTCCCAGATCCTCCCTGGTTCGGCCTCCCTCCCCCTTGTCATGCGGCCGCTTTCTTGCGGCAATCCTTGGCACTGTGGCCCTTGATGTGGCAGTAGAAGCACAGGTTCCCGTCCCTGTGGAGCTTCCAATCGGCCTCGTTGAGAATGGCTGCTAGTTCCCATTTCCTTCCTCCCGATGTGGAGGCGAAGGTTGATGCGACGGCAGCGGCGTCGATATCCATTGGTTCGCCATAGTCCCTGGTGTCTGTGACGATGAGAGCCCCCTGCTTGGCTGCGTCGGTGTTTCGGACTTCGTCGTACCAGGCCTTCATGGTGTTGGGTCGATCCCTAGTGACCCTTGTTGCGAGCGCAAAATACAGCTCCTTTGGGAGTCCTTTGACGAAGTTGGCGTGGAGAGTGTGGTAGTCATTCTCGACGCGGTTGGTGCCATTGACCTCGGTGTCCTTGAGCTGAGCCTTTGATGCTAGCTGCTCGAAGCGGGTGATGTAGTTACCGAGGGAGAGCGCCGTCTTCCTATCCTTCTGTCGTTCAGGCAGTTTCATCAGGATCTGATGTGCCTTGATTCGTGTTCCGTGCTCAGGGAACACCTCTTCTAGGGCGGCGACGAAGTCTGCCCAAGTGGAATAGACCTGGACTCCTCCTGCTGACTTCTCGTAGTATGCGTCCGCCCATGTTTTCCCCAGATCCTTCCTCATCAGCGCTACGGTGAAGGCGATCTTTGCTTCATCGCTGAGTCGGGTGTTGTTGGTGGCGACGAAGTAGGAGAGGATGCATTGGATGAAGCGTCTGAGGTCCTCCGCCTTTCCGCTGAAAGGTTCGGGAGCGGGTATGTCGAGGCGAAGGGGTCGGTTGGCCGTTGACTGCTGAGATTGGTATGCTGCGAGGGCGACAGCGATGCGCTGATCGATGTCTGCTTGAGTGAATGTTGCCATAGGGACTTCAACCGGTGTGTTGGTTGGTGTGGGTGGGGCTGGTGGTAGTTCGATGTCCGGGATTTCGATGGGAATGTACTGAACTTCAGGGAGTTCAAGTGGTTGTTCGTTGATGGGTGACTGCACGCTTTCTGCTGTTTGTGTAGGTTCGACGTCGATCCGTAGGGTGGTGAATATGTCCTCTGGGTGAGCGGGTGGGTGTCTCTGGTAGTAGCTAACGAGTTCTTGATGGGTGACGACCTGCGGGTTTGGACCGGTTGCACGACACCAGGTGCCGCCTCGAGGGTAGATGGGAGCTCTTTTTGTGGAGGTGACAAAGCAGCGATCTGCTTGGTCGTACTGGAGGAGCGGTGATCCTGTGAGGGCTGGCAGTCCCAAAGGAACTGGGTTGACTGCGTTGTTCGACGTGATGGTGGATGAGATGTTCGACTAGGTAAAACTAGGAACATAGCTTAGAAAGTTCGACCTTTTGATACAATGGTCTATACTCCTATATTGATGCCTGACTCGTAGACGACGAGCGAGGACTTATGGACAGTACGTCGTCCTGAAGATCGAGTGAGGAAGTCGAGAATGACCACTACCCCAAGCGAAGAGGAGCAGAGACTTGAATGAATAACCAGGTCGAACTTAGGGTTCGACCGACTAATGGTACAACTACTTATACAAGTACCGACTGCGCACAGACCATTGTGTCTATGTGGTCGTGTTAGTGAAGAGAGAAATGTAGTGGTACAATGCTGAGTACGAAGTGTGCACAGACCCCATTATGTAAGCTACATAATGTTCAACCTGCGGGTGAGCGCTAAGACAGGTGCCAGTATGGGTGCTAGTAGTACAAGGAATAGAACGGAAAGACAAATGTTTCACATTCAGGGCGTTGGCGTATGACTTCGGCTCGCAACACGGCTCCAATGCTTTTGCTGAAGAAGCCAGGCACTGGCGTGAAAGGTGTTCCTCCGTGTTTGCGTACTGTGTGTGACCTGCGTGAGCAGAATGCGAATACAGTCAAGGTCACTTCACTGTTACCTGACATGGAGGGAATATTGCATCGGGTGGCGTGCAAGCCTTACCGTTCCATGGCGGATGGAAAGGATGCTTATGAGCAGATCCGCGTGGATCCTGCTCATGTGGAACGGACTGCCATGACTACTCCTGATGGTAACATGGTTAGTCTTGTCCTGCAGCAAGGAGATTGTAATGCTGTCGCAACTTACCAATCGCTCATGAACCATCTGTTTGGCCCCTTTATATTGCAGTGGATGGATGTGTATCTGGACGATATCGTGATTTACTCCGATACTTTGGAGGATCATATACATCATGTTAAAACCGTGATTGATATTCTCGCAAAGGAAGAACTTTACCTTAGCTCTTCAAAGCTTCATTTTCTTTGTCGCGAGATGAAAATTCTCGGTCGCATCATTGATGATGATGGTATCCGCATGGACCCGGATAAGGTCGACTCTGTGCTTAATTGGAAGGTGCCCACAAACAAGGAGCTCTTGCGAGGCTTCCTGGGTTCCATTGGGCATCTGGCTGATGATATTGCTACTGTTCGTATACCCATGGGCATACTCACTTCATTAACTGGGTCCGATTCCAGCTTTAAATGGGATCATACACATCAGCAGGCTTTTGACGAGGTCAAACGACTGGCACATGCTCACCGGGAGCACCGCCGTCGCCCGCTCGACTACTCCGCTGATGCTTCCCGCATTTGGCTTGTCACGGATGGGTCTCTGGGTGGAATTGCCAGAGTGGTATCCCAGGGGGATGATTTTCGTCAGGCCCGCGTGGCCACTTTCTTTTCGGCAAAGCTGTCCACTGCACAGCTGAACTACCCTGTGCACGAGATTGAAATGTTAGCGGGTGTTGAGTCCATGCTGCGGCACCGTGATATCTTACTTGGTTGCCATTTTACATGGTTGACCGACCACAAGGGTTTGATCCACTTGATAAAGCAACGGGACCTGTCTGGCAGGCAGGCCCGCTGGTTAGAAAAGATTGCGGAATTTGACTTTGAAATTGAATACGTACCCGGCGTCGAGAACATCCTCGCGGATGCCCTGTCCCGCATGTACTCGAATGATGCGCCGGGCACCGTCCGCGCAGCATCCGAGTACGCGATGCACAACGATTCGTCGTCGTTCGTGCCCCGGTTGGATGCCCACGCGATTTCCGTGCCTGTTCTGGCCGGGATCGAGGCGGGCGCTGTGCACGGGCGCAGCGGGCAGGTGCTGCCCGTGCACCGCGTTCATGCGGGGATTCTCACAGTGTGGCGCCGGCGGTCAGATCTGCGACGGCGGACGTCGTCGATGCCGTGTCTGCGCCCGCTGTCTCGCCGCCGCTCGTGCGCTCTGACATGTTGGGGTGGCTTCGTCCGTGCTTGCCAGCGCGTGTGGCGGCGGTGCTGCCTGTTCCTGGGGGCTGGTTGCCGCGTGGCGGCACCCGGGACTCGATGTCTGGCAGAATTGCACCGCACGCGGGCGCTGGCTCATGGGGGGGGCGTTGGGGTCGCACCCGCGCTGCCGCTGTCAGCGTTGCCTGACATCGAGGAGCTGCACGGTGCTGTGCTGGCGACGTCGCGCCCGCGCCGTGTTGAGGCGTTGCTGGCTGAGACAGGGTGTCCCGAGATGGCGCGCGAGTTTGTGCGCCGCATCCATCGTGTCGTTCTGCACGGCCCTCGTGCAGATCAGCAGGAGGGCGGGAACCTGCAGGCAGCGTCAGCGGGCAGTACCTCGCAGGACCATGACTTACCTGACGTGGTTGGCCCTGGGGAGCCGGATGGCGACGGTGGGGTGGTGGTAGTTGCAGACAGGACGCTGCCAGCGCGCGGCACTTGTTTTGACGCCCTCCATAGCGCCACACAAGACGCCTTTTCAGGCCGTGCAGCGAGCGCCGGGGAGCGTCCAGCAGGCGAGCCGGAGGGCGCGCACGATGATGCTGGCTATAGCCAGCTGTTAGAATACATTGCGGGGGACTCGGGGGGTACCGACTTACCTACGAGCCTGCATGGGCATTATTTGGAGAACAAGTTCTTTCAGAACATCCTCGCAAACCCTAAGTATTACAAGAACTTCCGTGTATTAGACGGGTTAGTTCTTATGAAGGAGCGAGGGCGCGAGGTATTGTGCATACCTGATGTCCGTGTGAATGAACAAAGTGCGCGCGAGATCGTGATCTCGCATGCACACTCGTTGTTAGCACATCTCGGCCCATACAAGACCTTGGGCCTCTTGAAGGACCACGTCTGGTGGAAGACTATGGGGCCAGATGTACAGAAATACTGCGACTCTTGCATGACGTGCAAGTGCAGTAAACCTTCCAATCAAAAGCCCTATGGGCTTTTGAATCCTCTCCCGGTACCAAGCTCTCCTTGGGAGGCTATCAGGATGGATTTCATAGGGCCTTTGCCCGATTCGAAGGATTGCGATGGGATTTATGACTCCATCACAGTGATAATTGACCTGCTTACCTCTATGGTACATCTTGTACCTAGTCATACTAATTATACAGCTCGCCAGGTGGCCAAGCTTGTATTTGCAGAGGTGTACAAGCTGCATGGTTTGCCTAAAGCTATTATTAGTGATCAGGATACCCTGTTTACGAGCCAATTTTGGACCCACCTGCACAAGCTCATGGGAGTTGAGCTCAAGATGTCAAGTGCCTATCATCCCGAAACAGATGGCTCAACAGAACGAGCAAACTGCACTGTAACACAGATGTTGTGTCAGTGTATCAGTCCGAATCAGAAGGATTGGGTGACTCGCTTACCGAGCATTGAGTTTGCCATCAATTCCGCGAGATCAGAAAGTACCGGATATGCCCCGTTCTTTCTGAATACGGGCAGAATGCCCCGCAGTATGATCTGGGACAATCCTACCGTGGACGAGTACCCCAGAGTCCGTGCATATGCACAGAAGGTGAAGTATGCTATCATGTCGGCTCATGATAGCATCATTGCCGCGCACGTGAAGCAGACTCGGGATGCGAACTGTCGCCGTCGTCCAGCACCTTTTGCCGAGGGTGATCTTGTGTATGTTTCTACGAAAAACATGTCACTACCGAAGGGATTAGCCCATAAGCTCATACCCAAGTATATTGGACCATACCAAATTCTTCGTGACTTCCGGAACAGCTCGTACACTGTGGAGTTGCCATCAAGCTTGAAACAACGTGGTATTCATGATGTGTTTCATGCTTCCTTGCTGCGGGTGCACGAGCCGAACGATGATTGTCTGTTTCCCAGCTGGCTTGACAATCAGGTCGCGGAGTTGGAGGATCAAGATGGTGAGTGGGCAATTGATCGGATTGCATCGCATCAAGGTACCGGGGATGAGGCCATCTTAGAAGCAGTTTGGAAATCGGGGGATCGTACCTGGGTCCCTTACTCATCAATTGCTCACCTGGGTGCTGTGTCAGCTTACCTTGAGGCTTTGGGAGTGGCCGGTATTGCCGACCTACCCACAGGTAAGGGTTCGGCTTCTCCCGACCCTCAATTTTTCATAGGTTCTATTGGTTTACCTGCTCTCGGGCGAGGGTACAAGACAGCCCCGAGATGACGAAGAAGACATCAACCATTTGCTGATCGAGCCCCCGCTCTCGCACATCCACACCTGGACTTTCCTGTATTCTCCCTTGATCTCATCATTTAGGCTTTGCTTCTTGACAACCCCGCTACCCCGATTCACCCCTTCTGGCAATCTCACATCAGCATGGAGACACCCTATCGCAACACATTTGCGCACCGACAGCCCGATGGGTCCATCATCATGGATGACCTGCATAACGAGGTTCGGCACCTTTTTACGGTCCCACAGCTGCGGGCTTTTGTCCACTTTGATTTGCTGCTGCGAGCCGGTACCTTCAAGAAGGCATCCGTTGATGTGCCTGGTGGATATGTCGAGTTTCAGTCTCTATGGAGTCAGGACATCACAGCCCCACACCAGTTCTGTTCCTTCGACCTCGGCACGGCTGTGTTCGATGTTGCTGGACAAGCCTTCAAAGTTGACAAGTTCGCACCAAAGCGAATGGGACCTATCACCAAGGACCGCGTCATCGAGGTCATTCACGAAGTCACGGTATCGAAGTACTCCCCTGAACAAGAGCGGGCCATTGACATGATGTTGTGGAACGAGGCACAGCGTGGTCGTTGTTTTGCGGAGCAGTGCACCAAGCGGGAGACGGAGAGGGCTGAGAAGAAGAAGCGTGATTGCAGTGCACCGTCGAGAGGGAGATATGCAAGCAGGGTAGTGGGAAGAAGAAGATGAAGGGCAAGTGCGCCGAGGAAGACCCCGCGCGTAAGCGCCAGAAGACGAGTGCCGAGGATACGAGCGCCGAGGATAAGGGCGTAGGGAGTTCGCAGGAGCTGTCGACGGCGACCGCTGGGGCTCGCATCGACACGATGGAGACAGAGTAGACCGTCGTATACGACGGTCGGAGGGCACATGTAACGAGCCGGAACGTGCGGACGTCTCGGCTAGGACATTCACCGAGACTGACGATTTTCCTCATCGAGTCAGATGCAGAGCGCCGGTAAATTTGACTATGCCCTGTAGTATATAAGCCCGGACACTTCGTAACTACAGGGTAGCGTACTACGAATCAAAGAGCAGACTTATAACCTGTCTCTTTCGCGTGCGTTTTGTGACACCACCGACACTCTTTGTCGCGAGCGTCACACATGCACGTGCGCTTAGAGAAATTCGTCTCGATCACGTCAGTACCACTCGGCTGTCTCCGGATGGCCTCTGCCAAGAGCACAGCCAACTTCAGCGAGGACTTCGCACTCTTCTTTCCGCATGGATAGAACACTAGCTTTCAACGAAGTACTTTTCAAGTGGTATTTTCGTGACGAGTTTGTGGATCTCAGTCAACCTGTCTGAACCTCGCTGCGTCGACGCACCAATCATCGCCCTCACCGTGCTCACTGATGGAAGGTTGTTCATCTCTATTGGACATTCTCAAAAGCCATGAATCCAGGCGACTAGTAACAGTTTATCGCATTGAATGAAAAGAACAGACACCGATGTTAGAATCCGCAGTGTGAGATGGCATCGCACGCAGGTACATCATAATCGCTGTCGCTGAATGCCTGAACAAGGTATGATATGTACCACTACCTCTTGGATCTACGAAGGGCAAAATAGGCTCCGGGAAACATCTCGACCATGGATGCACCCATTTCATTTCATCTTGTTGGGGAACAGTGCTCTAGCTTTCGTTGCTGGATTGTCTCTCCTACTGGAGTCTCTGCTTGGTGAGTCGAGCATGTTCAGGCCCCGTTGCTGCGTTAGCTCGGGAAAGGCCGTCGGGCATTAGTTCGTTGGCGGCGCAGCCCCAGAGACTACGTCATCCGACGCCGCTCAAGATTCCCATCGCGTACTTTTGTGCACTGCCTATATCCTTCGTGCTCTGCAGTATCCGCATGGTGTTCCGCGATGGAGTCTTCTATCTCTGAGCCATTGCGGCGTAGAATACAGCGGCGCTCCTTGGGCGTATTTAAGTGACTGCAGTGTGGGTCGTAATGACAAATAGCGGCCTAGACCACGTCGATGGCCCTCTTGGCATAACAGATGTCCGAAACACACTCACGGACTTACGGCGCGCTCCGGAGTAATTCTGCGGCATGTTCCTGGGCTTGCATAGTAGGCTCCTTGAGATTAGAGCTGGCCCGGAGCTTTTTGGGGCCATGCTAACAACCGTCGCAATTGAAGTTGGAAGGAGAGCTCAAGGCATGATCATGATGGTTGATGTTGATCAACTGGTGGCTACATCGAGAAGTACGACATCGTCTCCCTACCCGGTTTCCTCTTCGGCTGCTGTCTGTCCGACGTATTTTGTAGAACATGGAACCGAGTCGTTTCATTGTGCCGGAAAGGCACCTGCCGATTGCTTGGTGTAGGGCATTATCGCTCATGTCCAGTATCAGGACTATCCTCCGCAGGCGACGATCCGGTAAGACGGCTACGAGACTTGTACACTCAAGCAGAGGTACCGCCAGGCTGGAAGCCGAGCATCATATGTTACAATGTTTGTATATTGCGCGTATGATACAGATGATAGTAACAAGATAGCTGAATGAAGTAGTACGGCTACGATCGAGCAGGGCTGTGATGATGGCAACCCAGACCTAGACCGCTGGAGCGTGACTTGTTGTAATGACAGGGCGCGCTTCTAACATTTCCAAGGATTTGTTGTTTGCTTCGAGTCGCTCTGCATGTTGTTTATGTCTGTGATGTTCGTAAGCCGAGAGTATGAATTGGACAGACACTGAGCGAAGCGGAGAATTAGTCAAGAAGGCGCAGCATGTAGCAGATTACTGCACACCTGGGACTGGGCGCGCGTATAGACGACGAGGTCATTGCGAACTCCGGTGCGCTGTGTCCAAATAAAGAAACGAAGGGATGGCACAATGCGATGGATAGTATTGCGAGATGTCTCGAAACGACGAGAAGGATGCGTGAATGATGAATGTATCCTATACGGGAGCGTGATGGGATATGATGTGCGTCGTCGATAGAGATGTCTACTCGTTTGTATGGAAGTGTAATCGAGACTGACGACTGAGCCGCAACTGAATCAGCATGAGGATAGCAAGCAAGCGAAGCAGCAAGACAGCCGGGAACTGGTGCTCTAGAGCACTGGATGGACGAATGGGGTTTTGATGTGTATTCGACTGTTACGTTGTCGCAAATAGCCATGGAAAGGCGTGTGATATGAATAGTCATGGTGTGCGACTTCACGTCTAGTTTGTTATGTAGGGAACGTGTACGAGAGGCTGCAGTCATTCACAGCGAGTCAGAATGATATCGGGCAGAGCAAAGGTAGCACTCACAGTATGTGTTCACGCGCTAGGAGCAAGTCCAGCCCGCGAACGATAGAATGTTGGATAGAATGTATACTCGACGAATAGATAGAGCACTGTCTGTCGTAAGAAGGATGCGACTGCGCAGTCGTAAGGAGATGGTGCACTAAGGTAGTAAATATATCCGCGATGTCGAGCAAGCGAGCAAGGATAGGAGATCTTGGAGTAGATAGTGGTGTGACGAGCATTGAGGTCATGGGATAGAATGGATAGGCATGTCGAAGACCAGGAGAGACGACGAAGTGAGCCTCGAATGTGAGGCGGAGACTGTTACGGGAGAAGTTGCCGCAGTCCAGACAGATGGAAGGTTGTTTGCATAAGGTGCGATGCGACGACAATTAGGATAGTCATGTTCCAGTCGAGCAGTCTTGTGAGATCAAGCGCTGAATTCGCGAAGCTGTACGTGAAGCTGGCATTCACATGTTGTGTCAGGCATTGGTGACTAATAGGTATCGTCCGAGCGAGTATCAGTGGAATGGAAGAGGCCGTGATAGTCATGATAGCTTAAGAGATATGTGGAAGTCCACCGAATCATGAGGGTGGCTAATGAGTAATGACGCTAACCGAGGGAGACAGTGAGTTGATGTCGAAGGCGCATCTAGAGTGATCCCGGTAAGTCCGACGGCCATGAGCTAACAGGTTAGAATCACTCACAGCCTCTCGTGTACGACGACAGAAAGCATTCGAATGCATGGAAGCCTAGTATGAGCAGCAGAAGTAATATTGCGAGGAGAGATCGTTGCCGAGAGTAGATAGGGTGTTTTGGAGGAGCGTGAACAGCAACAGAACGGCCGCGAGATGGATCGTAGAGCGCAAGGAGGGCGAAGGACGTCAACGTCAATGAATGTGGGATCTCTTGAAGACCGAGAGGCTGATTACGATGCAAGAATGAATAGCAGAGACGAGAGGGAAACCACAACAAGCAGTCGGCGAAGAAAGCAGGAGAGAGCATTGAGATGAAACTGGGATGATGTTTGGTCAGAGATAAAGACGCAGACAACTTCGGATGGCGAAGGATGCAGAGTTTGAAGACATGTGGGAAATGTGAGGCGATTGACGTTTAGGAAAATGGCCACAACACGCGAAAGATAGCTAAGAAAAGCACTAGTTTCAGAGTGGTGAGCGGTCGCGACGCAAGACCAGATGAGCAGAACTGCTTTGAGGTTGCGGCGAGAAGGCAATGATGAGTTGAGACTAGAGAGAAAGCATCCAAGAGGAAGACGCGACCACAAGGTAAAAGCCAGTGTGGAAGGCGCCCTGATGTGCGATAGTGGAGTACGCTATAGGAAGGGCAAGTAGTATTGAGACTGTAGTGTTATTTGAGGGATCTTCGCGTGCGGTATGGATGACGCGACCAGCGCGACCGAGATCCAAAGCGAGCACAGAGATTGTAACATCGTTATCGTTAACGGGTCGTCAGAGCTAGCCCATTTCGATGTTTCCTGACTGTAGTTAAACGTCGAGTCCAGGAGAGGCTGTTCGGAGCCATGTCCGAGGTTTAGAGAATGTGGCGGCCTACGAAGAGCTGTACGCCAGCAAGATCCGTTGACCAATCCAGAGTGAGGGGACGAAGGCCAGGGATATTGACGAGGAGCTGACGCCGTCAGAGAGGAAACAAGACCGATTCTTCAGCGAGCGCTGACGAGCTAGACACCGACCACCAGAAACTAGGAAGCCGCGAGAAGACGGCACGCCGCTATCAAACCATGAGATGACGTGACGGTAGTCCAGAGTGACAACTCACCAGTGGGAGAAAATGTCGTGACAGACTAAGACTGTTCACGTCGAAGACATGAATGGACAGGCATCTTGTACAACGCGACAGCCATAGAGTATGCGAACGGAAACATAGTTCCTAGACCAATACGGAAGATGGCCAGTGACTTGTGTTCTTCGCGAGGACGCGCGTGGTGCACGTCAAGCTGGATGGTCTTTGACATCCAGCGGTGTGAGACGAGTGGCAGCAGTAACGACACTTGAGTGTTCGGTCGACCCAGGAAGTCGGGCGCCACCGATGTCGACACCGACCGAGCGGACAAGGCCAGTGTCGACGCTTGAGTGAGCCAGATCGCTAGCCATAGCCAGAGAATGCAGCCGCTCCAAGGTAGTTGTGTATTTTCAAGGACAATAGAGAAGGCAAATCCAGAAACGGAACCAGATCACCAGAAACCGAGACAGTCAATATACGGTGTTTTGTATTTTCTTCTGTTTTTGTCGTGTTTCTTCGTTATCTTTTTTTATGTGCTTCTTGTGTTTTCGTGAGCCAAAGGGAGCGAGTCAGACCAAGCCTGAGATACAATCCGTAGATAGACAGGAGGTCCATCCTCTTGACGCCGCGCGTTCATGTCGTTTCGTAGCGGTCTTCGGGATTGTTGTGTAGCGATGCAGTAGTGGGAGTTGATGGGAGAAGGTCGGCCAGTGCGCGAGAAGACCAGGGCGTAGACCAAGAAAAGACTGTTCTGACAAATCGATGTCGATGCTGAGACGTTGATGAGACCGAGTCGAGAATATGACATGAAGCCCAAAATGAGTGATCGAGCCAGATCCAAGCCATAGAAAGATCCAAGGTCAAAGAAACAGAAGTAGAGGAATTTGAGACTTGTGGAAGTGAGAAGAAGACCACGGCGCGAACCAAGAAAAGACGGTTGTGAAAAATGGATGCCAAGTCGAGATGTTGATGAGATCGATTCAGGAGTACGAGAAACGGAGCCCAGAATGAGAAAATCAAGACAGACGTAGATGGTTCCGAGTCATGAGGCGTTGTAGATTCATGTTGAGATAGATCACTAGAAATCGTGTCTGGAGTTTACGGCAGGAACAGTCTCAGACTAGCGCATTGAAGAGGTCGCACAGATCGTCTAGGGCCGAGCCGCCTGTCGACGATGCCGCAGGAGTGTCCGTCAAGAGCCCAAGAGATGCAAATGCACCCAGCAGGTCGTCAGCAGAGTTCGTCACCTCTTGAGTACCGGTGCGCCCATGGGACGCCGTCGTCAATGACAGACTCGTAGACATGCGACACAGCACGTCAAGGTCGAGGTCATCGTCGGTACTCTCCTTGACCGTGGTGATTGGCGTCATCTTCTCGCGCCGTCCGGTCTTTGGATTCCTGTCCATCACAGCGTGAGCACGAGAGCAGGAGCACACGATATGGCAACGTACACCGCTGATAGCAGGAATCGCCCACATCCTCCTTTGGGCTCCGCGCTCTCCACGTCCTGTCGTGCAAGTTTCCGCGATATCTTCTTGTATCGCTTGCGTGTGTCCTTGCGCGCCTTCTGCTCTGCCGCACTCTTGTTGCGGACCGCCCGGAACACGTCGGTGTCTAACAGCGTGTTAGAGAAACTGGACGTGGATTTGCGCGCCGGCTGGGCGAGAGTCTTCTTGGCCTTGCTGATGCCGCCGGCATAGCCCTTGCCGCTTCTCGTCGCCCTAGTGAATGAACCTGCCATGAGATGTCCGTCAGTGACGCAGGTTCAAAATCTATCGGATGGTTGCTCTCATACCCATGTTCGGAGTGAAATCATCGTCAGAGAAATCGTCTTGAAAAGCACTGAATAGTCCTGAATTACCTGTGTTCGTCGTCTTCTCCGCGCCTTCAGTGGTGTTCGTAGGGAGTGTCGAGTATAGCGATTGCATGTCAAACATCGGCCCAGCAATCGGAGCTGGATCCTCGAGGAGACGGTCGGGTAGCGCGGGGTGGGGAAGGAATGACGTCCAAAAGTGTCTGCAAGCTGAAGACGTGCTCCAGTCCAGCGACGACAGCCTGCTCGCCGATATCCGACCCAGACACCACGACCTCCGGGAGTGGCATCGTATGGAGCTCATTCTGCTTCTCCTTGTTCGGCGACGAAGCTGCAATAACGTCGTCCGCAAACGTCTCGTTCCAATCCGGGTCAGACGTCGCGACGTGGTCCTCGTCGAGTGCGCCACCGACGAGCGTGATGTCTCCCACGGAGGTGTCCTCATTGTCGAGAAGAGCGACAGTGAACTCCTGCACAGCGCTGAAGTGGGCTGGCACTGCGTCGACGTGTTGCTGAATGATGTCGCCCCCACTTTCTGCTGCGATCAGCACTGCCGCGACTGTACCGAAAACCGCGTCCACAGACACCAGCTGGATACCCATCTCGATGTCTTCCTCCACCGTCAAAGGCTGCTCCTGGCGCCCCATCTCGATGTCCTCGTCGGGTTGAACGAGATCAATCGCTGCGGACATCAACTCGACCGGGACTCTTGCGAGGTCTGCATTAGTCAGAAGGTTGGCGGCGATCTAAGTGGACATGAACGCAAACAGTCTGTCGTCAGAACCTGCGCGCACATAACAGCATCATAGCCTCACCTCGTTTGTGTATGGTAATATCTTCATCTGAGCAAGCAGTGCCTGCGGAGCTACTACGCTGTCGAAGCCGTCCATCTCCACCTCCACAGCTTGTTCCTCTGCATGCAGCATATCGCTGTCCTCGTTAATAGTTACTTTGTCTGTAGAGCGTGCAACCGGAGATGCCATCTCGACCGGCATGTCGTCAGTGGCGCACACGTCTTCCATTGCTTCCTCTACGCTGGACGGGGCATCGGTGTGGCCAGTGTCCATATCCACCACGAAAGCGCTGTACGTGTCGCGAGCCGGCTCGGATGAGAGTATCACGGCATCGACGGCCATAACCGTAGCCTCTGCAGTCTGTCCTTCCGTCGCAGGCATCTCTTGTGCCTCTGCCACTGCGAAGACGTGGGCAGGCTCGTTCAGCGCTGCGAGGACGTCAGCCGGCATTCCAGGATACGAGCCAAAGTCAAAGGCAAAGTTCTCCATCCGCAGACCCCATTCACGCGGCTCCCCTTCTACGGACATCCCTACTTGCACAGGCTCGGCCTCGACGACGGAAGCGGTAGCGGATTGCTCCGGTGATATACACACCGGTGCCACGCACTTCTCAAGCTCGCCAACAGCAAAGGCCGGGGCGACGTCCAGCGACACAGACTCTTCGTTGGCTTGAGGAACTACCGGCTGGTGCTTGACTTCTGCTCCCGTGACGGACCGCATGGCCTTGGACGCAGACTTGGGCTTCCCACGAGCACCCTTCAACTTGGTCACAGAGCTCTTCGGGACTCGCTTGATATCGTCCTCTACAAGGCCGAGCAGCTTCCGCCACCCTCGCCGACTGCGACTAGGTCCAGACGCCGAGACCTTGGCCTTGACACTGCATCCTTGCACGGGTACCACCTTGACCGTCGTCGAGCTCATCAGTGTGCGTGGGCAATAACAGGCCATGTCAGACTCACCGATGCCGTTCCTTCTCGCCCATCCTTGTGTTCCGACTCATGCTCACCGCAGGCGTACCTCCGCCAGGCCTGTTCATCAAACTGGTGCTCCTCTTGCTTGCCAAACTCGTGTTGCGTCTTCCTCCGCAGTGCCTTGTGACGTCCATTGATAGTCGACAGTGTCCGGACGACCTCGACCTCCAACCTCCGTGTCCCCGCAGGTGTCCGCGGAGGCACAACGTCTGCCTCACTGGCCGCAGCCGCCGCTTTCGCAGCCCTGCGCAGTGCGAGGAACGGGTACAATGACTCATCCTCGGCCTCCTTCCTCCGAACCCGCGGCCTCTCGATTCTCAACTCCCCATGGGCTGCCTGGCGACGGAGTTGAATGACCAGCGGAGCAACCGACTTGCCTTTGCCGCGGGCTCTATTACGGATCCCGCTGCCGGGACCCATATTGTATGCCGAAGAGACTATAAGAGGATTAGAGTAGCAATAATTAGGAGGTGCAGGCGTTGAATAGTGATAGATGAAAGAGCGTGGGTCTGGTATGTTCAGGTTCGACTTGGCCGTAACGCGTGACCATTCAACAACGCGTCGACACGTGTCACGTGACCGCGCGCATCACTCGAGTCGCACCTCCCAAAGTAGTGTAAGGTGAATAAATCAGTGTAAATTACCCGGTACTTTTTTACAGGTAATTTGCAGGTAATTTACAATTTATTACAAGGGTTTCCATTGAGAGGTGTAAATAATGTAAATAAGGGTGTATCACGTGTTGGACCCACCCGGGGAGCCACCGCTTGGGCTGACAATCTCCTGTGCCTCTTGCACCAGCTTCCGGGCAGAGCCAACATGCAGCTTCTCGGACCTTCATCTCTGTATAAACTCATTTATAAACTCATTTATAAATTTTAATGAACTGTTTTTACTCCTGCTATTCATGATTCATCCTATCCGGTGTCTTGGACATTCCCACGGTGCCACACTCAAGCCCAATTTGGCAGTGGCTGAAACATTTATCTTTCCATTCTATTTCTTGTACTACTAGCGCCCATACTGGCACCTGTCTTAGCGCTCACCCGCAGGTTGAACATTATGTAGCTTACATAATGGGGTCTGTGCGCACTTCGTACCTGGTATTGTACCACTATGTTTCTTTCCTTACTAACACGACCACACAGATACAGTGGTCCATGTGTAGACGGTACTTGTATAAATAGTTGTACCATTAGTTGGTCGAACCCTAAGTTCGACCTGGTTACCAATTCAAGTCTCTGCTCCTCCTCACTTGGAGTAGTGGTCATTCTCGACTTCCTTGCTTGATCTTTAGGACGACGTACTGTCCATAAGTCCTCGCTCATCGTCTACGAGTCAGGCATCAATATAGGAGTATAGACCATTGTATCAGTGGCGTGCTTCTACAATACCAAAAGCACCACCTTGCAAGTGACAAGAGGAACATACAAGTTTTGCTACCAAAACATTTGAGCAGATGCCATCAGTTTTTTTGGATTGGATTGATGATCCTACTACAGTTGTCTGGGAAGAATTGACTTGAGTTTCTCACTGCCAATGAAGTAACACTTGATGATCTGAACATTCTAGGGATGCTTGTGACATCACCAATGTCATCGAGAACTGATAAAATACATATATTCAGCCTTGTGTGTGATGTGTGTGCTCCTGAGGTTTTTTTTAACATTTCTTAACTTTTTTAACCATTTGTTTACTGTTTTTTACACACCAGAAAACATCACGTGCCAGGCGGAGTCACGTGTATCAAGGTCCCGTGACTAAGTGTAAATTACATATTTTACCATGTAACAAACAGGGTCCCAAATGTGGGTCAGTAAATAACTGTATTTTACATGCCGATGAATTGTTTGCCCTACACTATCCCAAAGTTGCTGTTGTCGATGTTGGCAGCGTCTGCTCGCCGGCTTCACGCATTCCATTTCTGTTTGTCACGCCATTGTGTTCAGTAGGTCAAGCAGTGGTGGAAAATTAAGGCAATTCCCGAGTTCGAGTCCTCATTATCCCGGCTTACTAGAAATGTTGACAGCAAGATGGTATTAGCCTAGTGGAATTGCTCGCCAAGTTACTGTACTCGAGATAATATGAGGGGGTCAGAGTCTTTCATGATAGTACTCGGCGCTTTACTTGTGCGCCGCGTCGCCACGGCCACCGTGCTTGCTCCAGAGAGACATAGGCTGCAGCATGGATGGGACAGCAACGAGTCCACATCAGCAGTCCTAGCCATCGGCTAGACGCATCTGATGTTCCATGAGAATGTCTTCATCCTTATTCCTTAGATCCAAGATGCGGCGAGAGCGGTATGCTTCGCGCAAGTTACAGTGAGATCTGCGATGAGTAAACAACACGGCAACGGCCGGTGGCTGCTCACAGCAACGACTCTGCACCTCGTGCTTTGAGCTCTGACTGTCATACGGACTTTCCTTGGAATCCGACTATCGCGACGCCGTATCTGCTCATATATGTCGCATTCGCATGACTCTGCCTCCAGGGACTTCACAATGCTAGTCAAGTCCATCGATTGGTTTCCACCGTCATAGCCCTCGTCTTCACAGGCGTACATGGATACTCAGCAGCGACTGTCGAAATAATCATACTCTCGTATAACTGCAAATACAACGCGATCATGGAAAATAAGGAGTCGTTCTCAATACAGATACATACGGGCCAGATACGACGCGGGCGAGGCGAGAAGGACAGGATTGGTGAGCGCTTCACATAGCAGCATACACCTTCTCTCCAACAAACCTAACGATGTGCTTCGCCTCTAATTTCTACAGCTTGTGGATGTTGTCCAGATGACGCTTCAATGCGTCATGTCTCGATATTCTGGTACCACATATAATGCAGTCCATTTGCACCCGCCCAGGTGCGCGAGCCGCACATGTCTATTTAGGTTCTGTCTTTGTGCAAATTTCTTTCCACAGGCTTTGCACTTGATTGGCCCGTTAGCCGTATCGTCGGCAGTGGTCGCTACGACCGCGGGTGCGCGTGGACGCCGCGATGCCGTCTTGTCGGCCTTTGTAGATGAGCGTTGTCGCTTGAACTTGTACGGGCAAGCGGCGGATGTTTCGGCAATGGGAACTGCGCTGTTCTCCGGCGCCTTCGTAGTGCCTTCGCTTCTGCGGACATCGTTGATGTGTCGAGTGTTACTGGTTTCCTGCCCTACAATGTGTAGGCCAGGAGCCTGTGCGCTTGACACACCTGAGGGTGTGCAACGCGATGGTAGCTCGCTGAGATCTCTTATTCCTGACCCCGCGGCAATCAGGTCGAGAATGCATGGATCGACGTGAGCGAAAGGATCCATGGCGAAGGGTATCTCAGTACTGGAAGCCACCTCTGGAGCTTCCTGTGGGATGCTTATGTGGCTCTCTGGCCCATTATGACTGAGAATTTGTGCGTCATAGTATGTCTTTTCTTGATTTATTGCAATCTTCTGCGTTGGGTGTGGAAAATACTGAATTGGGTTGGCGAACCATAAAGGATGATGTCCCAGTGGCAAACATGCTTCATGCATGGCTATGGGTAGCAGAGCCTGCCCAAAGACCTGCATAGAATTGAGGTCATAGCTGCTTTCTTGAGTGCCGTCTGGACGTACTGATTGCTGGATGCCGACGAGATGCCTTGAAGGAAGGGGAGGAGGATCGAGACTTGAAAACTGCACAAGCTCCATACCGTATGCGACGGTGTTTTCGTTGGATACAGGGGTCTGCGCGCTGTAATAGAAATCTTGGAGTGGCATGGTGGGTTACGCAAAGGTGTTTGAATACAAAGGCACGATTGGTGGTGCTGTCGACCCTGCGGTCAGTTCTAGGAGCTCAATGTGGGCTATTTGAGACCGAACTCACCTACGCAGGAGTGGCGGTTCACAGACTTGTTTAGCTGCGGTGAGAGTGTCGATTATGAATGAAGATGGGCAGAATGCAATTTATATAGAAGACCACGGTGCGTCCCCGGCGCTCATGCGAAGTTCTTGTCCTTTGTTCCGAAGACTTTCACATCCAGTCCTGACTGACAACAGAGACTGCGGCGTACATCCTTTTCATTTCCGTCACTCAAAGTAAGTTCTGGACCCCCATGGATAACGCAAGCATCGAAGCTGATGGCGAGAGGCGTTGATCGCAGACGTGGTTGGAACCGTTGCCCACCGATCGAACAAGGCGGACATAATCAGTCATGATGTGCCTTTGTTCTCTTTGGTCCGATTGGGCGGCTGGAGTCTCACCACTTCCACGCGCGTTCACCTTCACGAGTGCCCGTTTCCTCGTGCAGTAAATGTGGCTTCAGGATACCTGTGAGCCCCGTTCCCTGAGGATGCCCCGACTTATTTTGCCAGATTGATTTTTTTAGATACACTTCGTTGTGCTAGCGAATAATTCACAAACGAGTTGTGTCGTAGTGGATATCAAAGCCAATATCTGCGATTCTACGCGGCGAGCGATTGACTGTAAGGGGACACGGTGGGTTGTGGCACTCATTCAAGTGTCGGCTACGAGGCGCATCAAGGACGCCGGTGTGAAAGCCCAAGCACCTGAACCCTAGACCACCGTTCATTCAGGCTGTGAACCGCTGTGGGAAGGCCGCTTCAGTCTTAATTACACCACAACACTTGTCACTGACTTCTCTCTTCTTCTCGTTGAGTACACTTGTTGATACCTGGCTTTTGTTGATCTCCTCTCTCGTTTGTCAAAGAACCTGGTATTCAACTCACGCGAGTGAGATCTCCTCGGCGAGGCTCGCTGAACAGCTCGGCTTTCGTATACATGCAAAGTCGATTTTTTTAAACAGTTTTACAACCGCGGGAGGGCGACGCCCTATGCCGAATGTCACACGCTAGTACCAGAGCTTGTTAAAATATAAAAGCGGCTGCGTTCGACGAGCAGAATCATATCACCTTCCTTCTCTTCTCTTCTCTTCAACTCGTAAATCTACGCACCGATGCCATGGGACCTCTTCGACCTCGAGGCACTCGCTCGCTCTCCCTTCCTGATTCAATCGTCGCCAACCGGCAACCAATGACGCCTAAACGCCATGCGCATCACATTCCCGAGAAAGCTCGTGTGTATATCTTGCCAACGACTCCTAACGCAAGAATCGAAGACAGCATAGTCTTTGTCCAGACAGGCAACATGGGAGGGAAAAGTGTGCAGCTCATGGCCTTCCAGCAAGGGCTTGTCGGAAATGTTGTGTGCGATGCGACCAAACCGGTGGTTCTGGCATAGGGTGGCACGTTCATTAAGGGGCACGTATGTATTGGGCGTTATCGCGCTGCTCATATCCATTCTCATCCTTGTTTCTGCAGAACAGTGGGGAGTGCAGACGTTCCAGTGCAAGGGCTGGCACAAAAGGAGTTGGGTGTATGTATGTACACCCTAGTACTGCAAGGTGTCAGGTCCTATCTTTATGCAGAAAACTCCCATGGCCAGAGTCGCAGAGTGTCTGCGGCTCGTACCTCGACACCATGCACGCCCCTTGGTATCCAGACATCCAGTCGTGAGTATTTTACCTGTCATGTTGACATTAGGCTCTGACACGTCTCTCACGTTGTCAGAATCATGCTCTGCGATGCACAGACCTCCTGCCCCACGCCGCCGCTTGTCCATCCCTCCTGGAGCCCTTCCCCTCTACTGCCCTCGCACCTCGTCTAGTATTGCCATATATATATCATGCAGTACCCTGGCACAGCTATACACACCTTTTACGCCACCGGAATCGACCATGTCAATATCTAGCAGTGTTCATGGCGCAAGCGACAATGAAGCTTCGCGTGCTCTCCACTCTTGAACAATCCCTATGTCTAGACCCATACGTGCATACATAGGTTGAGCAGCCTACTGCTAGCATTTCCGCTCCATGGTCGGCAGGGACATCGGACACGCCTTCGTACTTCTATGCGGAGAGCATACTAGGAACTCAAATGGAGTTCTACTCCATCTCGTATCCAAATGTCCATTCGTGAGTTTCCTACCTTTTTGCTGTCACTCCTCACTAACACGGCCTTGACTTGGTCAGCACTGCACCCTGCAATGACTATAATGGGGTTCTCCTGATGTCAGGATACGACACCGGAAGCACGATAGATACGACTAGAATCGAATGCGCTACATCCTTCCCGGAGGTCGACCCTATTCTGCTCGCTCATCCGAGCACCTACGAGATCGCCTCGGCGCTGAGCGATCCCACTCACTCCAGGGACACTCCTGCGTAGACCTCGGCCCTATCATCGTCTGCTCCATTGCCATACACTTGTATATTCACCAGATGCGACCACGCCCTCACCAGGCAGTATTGATAACGCCAGTGAAGCTGGGTCGTCGCGCTCTTCATCGCTGCCTATACGCTCTGCCGTGCAGTCTCTCAAGCACCGGAGCCACCCCTATCGTGGCAGCCCTTCCACATCGTCGCGCTCGGTGTCAGTGCGCGACTCTTCGTCACCATCCCCTCGTGCGGGTAGCTCCACTAGTCGTCGCTCTCCCCGTCATACCTGCAGATGCAACGTGCAGGTCAATGGCAAAGTTCCCGAGCCCGAGGACATGGATGAACCTAGCATGGTGAAATGCACCGTGAAGTCATCCAATCTGGTGTTTCTCGAGCTCGATGAAGCGGCACGTAGAGAGACACATGGGCCACAGAGAAAGTGGAATTGTCGTGGAGTGCTTGTTGAGCTGGCTTCCGAGTACGGTATCCCGACTAGTGCAGAGCCATACGAGCACAAGGGTCGATGGATGGTAGGCGTGTGCGAGACGCGCTGCAGTCGGAAGGACGCACTGGTGCGTCACCTGAATAGCGAGTCAAAGGGGTGCGTGGGTGATGTGGATGTGGCGGATGCGCTTGGATGGCTCGAGGATGCCAGCCAGTAGATAAAATCTGCGGGCCCGGTGTTGCGGTATACCAACACTATGATTTCCGACGCCTTGCACAATGGCCTCTGAGTATAACTGCTCCATTTTTGCAAGTCGATGCATTTTTGTGACAGGTTGGATGCAACTGCTCGTACCACGGCAGACCTACGATGAACACAATCACTACCACACCCACGACCGATCCTACTTCAAGTTGAAATCTTGCATTGCACAGTTCTTTCTCGATAATCAAGCCAACAGTCTAGGCTGTTATATGCAGATCTAGCGGTACAGCATCATAGGAACATCAGGTTCAAATATATGAACCTGTGGCTTTAGAGCTAATAAAACTGAGTCGTAGCTCGGGACCTCGCGTCAGAATAAGGTTCTGTCTATTCCTTTGCGCCCGGTAGAACGTCGATGGGGATGCAATGATCCATGCGGTAGTGAGATTAGAGCCTCATTATTTAAATCACACCTCTGCTTCTCCATTTTCATTCCACAGTGGTAGGCTCGACTGGTTTCCCTGGCGCGACGCGTCGACGTCATGACGACGCGGGTCGTAGCACGTGATCGTGTCGCGGCGCACGTGGAACCCCTCCGACAGACTTGTGCGAGTTGGCAGCTCCGCCTGCCGGTACCAAATAGCCAATTTAATCAGACAATCAATTATTGCATAATCTTTTTGACACATAGTCTTGTACTAGCTATAAGCCTATAGTATATGAGTTGACATCATGTCAAAAAGAATATCTCTCCGTAATATATGCATTCCCTCATACAATACAAGTTGCGCACGAGAGCATAACATTGACCGGGTCACATCAATTGCTAATGGCTGCAGGATCATGATGTTTGCAGTGGGGCACACCGACTGATCCGAGCTCCTCAAAACTGAGTCCATTGCTGTGAGGAAGTCCCCGTGGTCACCTTTAGCCAACAAGCCAGGAATGTGTAGATCAGAGGTTGGTACTGAGGAGCCTGTTGCAAAGACTGTCGTGCGACAGTGAGATTCAGGATCCAGAGTGCACTGTCAGGCTAGGGCTAGCACATGCAGATATGGTAACAAGCAACCCTGCCCACCTCTGGTTGATGTTAATAGTGTTGTCCACAGCCGGGCTTTGAGGCCCAAGCCGGCCGGGCCGAGCCCAGCCAAGCTGCCAAAAGCCCGGCCCAAGCCCTCAAAAGCCCTCCTAGAGGGCCCGGCTTTGGGTTTCAGCAAGCCCGAGCTGGGCCCTGGGCCCGGGGCTTTTGGGTGTCTATAATTAGTATGCAAAATGTACCATAGGCTGGATTAATTCATTGTTTAATAGGAATCTTGGTGGTCACCACCGCTGTACCACTGTCACTGACAGTTTCTGAGACCAAATACAAGGTCAAGGATCAATCACCCATGATGAACACATCATGTTGCATCGTGCTCAAGGGTCTGATATCGAATGTCAGTATTTCTGCAAGATCATTACACCTATATGTGTCTACTCACAATATTATAACACCCATAGTAAGCCTCACTAGTGTCCGGATTTTTGGACAAGTTAAGTGCTGGCCTACACACCAGTAAGGTGAGTCCGGCATGAGGCTCAACTACCGTGTTGAATGCCACAACCAGGCCCAGGGCTCAGCCCGAGCTGAGCCGAGCCCAAGCCCGGCCCTAGGGGCAGGCCTGGCTTGACTCTGAGGCCCGGCCCAGCCACCAAAAGCCCAGCCCAAAGTAGGGCTTTGGGCCTGAGCCGGGCCCTGAACAACACTAGATGTTAAGCTGACCTCAAGACAACAGTACATGTCCTCAAGGGGACACCCTGCCATAAATACCCACCAAAGGACTATATAGATGGTACATAAACTCCCAGACTGGAAAGGAGGTAAGGAGCTCACTTACGTGTACACACCAACCGCAAGTTTTTCATTTTATTGCACATAAAGAGGAGGTGTCCAAGGAGGTTCTGCGGGATGCTCAGATCAGGCTGGAAGGTGTCAAGCCGACGCTGTCGTGACTTGGGGTCAAGCAACAGGGGAAAACCTAAAAGCTGGGGGCGTTCAACTGAGTCTCACTGAAGCGATGGTGAGCAATACTCAAACCTAAGGCTAGGGACAAGATAATATATTAGTCAGGTAAGAAAAGAATACAGGAGTGGCTTACTGACCTAGGGACAAGAGGTTGAAACTGAGGTCCCTAGGGCAGCAGAGGCCGGCTTATATACAGGGGAAGATAAGGGCAGGCTGTGTGCATTGGTCCGTGCACAGCTGGTCCATGCACAGCATGCTGATGCAGCCCCGGGGGCTGGTGAGTCAGAGCGGCTGTGTCAGCAGAGCCTGAGCTGTGCCGTGCACTGCCATCCTCTCTAATCTAATCTATCCACAGGAGAATGTGATGTGCCGGCAAGGCTTGTCCATTTGAGCGTATAGTACAGAGGTCGCAGGTTCGAGCCTGCAGAAAGGAAAAAATTAAAAAACGGCTAGACACCATACCAACTCATGACATATGCTTGACCTCATTGATTGGGCAGAATCGACACACAAGAGCACATAATGTATCATGTTAAACTTCTTGCATCGTGAGACTAAGTGCATTGCCATGAGGAAGTTCTCATGGTCATCCTCAGCCGACAGACTAGGAATGTGTATAATCAGAGCTTGGTGCTGGGGAGCTTGACACAAAAACTGCTGAGGAGGGATTCAAAATTGAGAGCAAAGCATCAGGTAAGCACTAGCACACATGGTGAAGCACAAGGTAGCATATCAGTAGGAGGACTCCTCCAAACTGCGAACACAGAGTGAACACAACAAACGTGGAGGAGGAAGTCACGTGTAATGGCAGCCTATTACCACAAAAGGGTCTCAATCCACACTCCACCTTTACATAAGCAAGTTTGGTGTGCTTTCACAGTTAACCAAATATTGCCTATTTGGAACCATATTGAGACAAGATGTATTATTTTGTATGTTAAGTGGTATCACGAATATTATAGCTCAATGTCAGTCCTATGCAGGTGCTTACAGGCCTGGAAAAAGGAGCCCCAAGCCCACAGGGCGAGGTACAGTGCAGTAGAGGTGCACACCAATCTCGCCATTTATTGGAGCAGCAGCAAATATATGTATTCAGGTTATACAGGATGCCTACCCCACTCTGACTAGGTTTGGCTGTCGTAGCTATTGGTGTTGGTATTCTTAAGTAGGTATGGTACTAAGATGGTCCTCATTAGGACACTATATGAGTGCTTGTATGTGATAGCCTCTCAACTCTTTACCACCATGATGACTTACCCTTTGTTTCTCCTCCTTGCTGGCTTTCCCAAAGCACAAGCTCATTTTATTTCCTTGAAAAATGGAGGCCAACAATGTGTCACCTATGGCTACTGCACTTACCTGACAGATTTTGCACTTGAACTTGGTCCATCAGGAAAACCGGACACTCCTGATGCGCTGAGATTGCTGACAGGCTGACTTCAGCGACTCAGCGTTCTCAGCAGCTCAGCGGACACAATCACTCCGTTCAGCAGGCTCAGCATCTCAGCCTGGCTCTGAATACTATATTGTAATATAAGCTATAATACAACAATAAGTTAACTAATTCTTAGACAGCCTAATACCATAATACTAGTACAGGAAGTCTAATCTGCATACTCGTTTACATAGAATGAATTGAAATTGTCCAATGAGTAGGAAGAGTGGAAATCATGGGGTATCATGGTGCCATAAAGCACAGGCATCAGATGAACAGCATGTACTATACAATCTACATGAACCAAAGCTATAATAGGATGGTTGTCTTCTATCCCAGGGTGTATGAGATGCATACCTTATTAGCGGTGCACGAGCGTCATTGCCGGAAAGGCAGAACAGATGCACCAACCGCTGACGTGCCAAGAATGGGGGTAGAGTCTCGCACCCGGGGCCGATGGTGCACCCGCTCAGGGGTTCCGGATGCTCGTTCAGCCAGGAAAGAGACAGGTATGCTGTTCCTAGACATTCTATTGTATTCGCAACACTTACGCCCTGTAAATAAAAAAGTAGATAGTCTGAAAGAAAATCAGTTCCCCCCTCTCCATAGCAGTACAAACGACACTCGAGCTGTGCTCACCGAGACTTATTCTGCCCACGCCGGACGTCAACTCTTCCATGTCGTGCATCCGGGCCCTCATACGGACGATCCGCATGCCAGGCTCCCTCGACCCCGAACTACTCGCCTAGCCCGGCGACTCGATCAGCCCAGCAACAGTGAGAAATTTTATTTACTTACCGCACAGCATCTTCCAGCTCCCCTTCACGGGAGTGGGAGATGGTGGCATTAACAGCACCTCGCGCTTCAACAATAGCACCAGCAACAGGACCCGGCTGTACAACAGTCCGGGTTGTAAGACAGGGGGAGAGCGCAGTTGCCCCTCCTCCACCCTAGCTGCACCTTCGGGCATAGCATCAATAGTGTAAGTTTTGAAGACAGAGAGCTCACCTGGAATCAAGGGGCCAACTCCATACATACAGCAAAGTTGGGGGAGGGAGGGGGGGGTAGCGTAGGAGCAGATTGGAAAGGGGGAAAAATGAATGGGAGTGTGCTCATCTACCAAGTCCTGGCAGCCGAACAATAATGCCACACATGGGTCCCACTCGCTTCCAGCTCTGAACTTCAACCTCGCATTTCCCTCTCTCACTGCAAAAATCTCAGTTGAAGCAGTTGTCTTCTACTGGTACATATCCACTGACCTCTGGAGCCTGACTAATTGTGAAACGACCAGCGTCGACCACAGGAGGCCCTCTGCACAGTCATTGTTGTGGTAAGTCATCATTATTTGTGAATTTAACAAAGTAACTAATATGACTTACTCTCGGAGTGCTGACTTCAAGGCCTTCACGGAGTCATGCGCAGTTAAAACGTGTGCCGAGAACCTCCTCATCCGTTGGGAGGAGTGGGATGCTGTCGATACATCACGCTCCCCCGGCGCCTCTACCGCCTCCTCAAGTCCGGCACCCCACAGTCCGGCGGGACGTTAGTCGCTTTCCCACCTACAGCCTGTCCTCTTACTCGCTCGCGGGTTACTGATGCAATGTGCCGCACGCGAGGACCATCCGTGCCTCCCCTACCTAGGGGCGCATGCATTGTCTGCCTGAAAACTGTAAGGCTTTGACACCTAGCGCTGGTCTCACTCTTGAGTGCTTCCGTCCAAAGGCGCGGAGACCATTGTTAAGAGTTATTGGAGGCTTGTCTACACTCTACTTGTACCTACGTTGTATAGAGTATAAACCCGTCGAATCAGAAATGAATATTAATCTCGTATTTTCGGAATCCATTGCTCTTTTTCGCGCATGCACTTTCGCTGCCATCAAGTATTTCTCAATATGGCCTTGTTTTGATATCGCCCAATCAAATATATGTCAGTAGGCCTAAATGTATAATCTAATTGGTATCTATTACAATTTAATAAAATACCCTTGTCATGCTGAAGGCCTGACAAGACTGAAGGTGCTGAGCTCGCTGATAATGCTGACAGAAGCTTGCTGAAGCGAAGCGAGGTAAAAACTTTGTTGTGCTGACAGCTGAGCCGCGGACACGCTGAAAGCGTCTGCTGAGCCGAATGAACGCGCTCAGATCGCTGAGTCAGTGTTCTCAGCGAACTTCCAACTTTCCTGATGTCTCTGCGCCATCGGGCATCATACAGGCTCAGCATTCTGGACCCTTGGCCTATTTTGTCATCTAAAGTTGTCATGCTGCTTTATACAGTCCTAGGACGCGCCAACGTGTTTCCCAGGCACGCATCCCGCATCCCGCCGTCTATATCACGGCGGCGTATAACTTTGGTTGGTGCTCTCTCTCTGCACCCGACGAAAGCAGTTGACTCAACCACTGTTGAATCATCCCATGTGGCACGCATCATGAAATTCCTAGCTGCCATGACTAGTGAGCCAGGTATAAGTAAAATCGGACATGTGGCGACTGATGTGGAGTTCATCCAAATTACGTATCGTAGTCAAAGGGCGCATCGAGGATATCAACCTATCGCCAAGAAAAAAGACAGCCAAAGAAAAGCTGAATTCTATGTCTGAAGCAGGACCCCGACTCTTCAGGTTGCTTAAGAACGGTGTTCTTCAGCGGTTCCTAATGATGCCTTCACTACTCAATTCGGTGATTGTCCTTGTTCTCGCCACGGATGGCGAAAGGAACAAAGAGTCGGTGGCTTCCTGGCATCTTCCCCTCCCCTCGATCACAGTGGCTCGCTGTTCTCCGGTGTGGCTGGTTCGTAATTTAGGTATATAACAGAGGTCGATGGCCTCCAACACCATCAACTTCTCTTCTTCTCATATTCCTCGGTCAGTCTTTTTGAGAACAATGGACCCCCCACCATCCTTTGCGGATACCGACCCTCGTCCGCCCCCTGGTCCTCCAGTGTTGGGGCGAAGCTGGACTGGAACGATGTACGCTGTTATATCACTTCTTCGGTTGTAGCTAACCATGAAATCAGAGCGGATTGGGTAGACAATCATTTTCCGGGCCGCACTCGCTCACCCACCCCATACTACCACCTCCCCTCGTGCATGCCTACCATTTTTCTCGATGGCCGCTTCGAAGCTGACTTTTGTCATTAGTCCTCCTCTTACTGAATGGCCGCTGATAGGCGCCAAGCCCCTCTGGGCCCCGATACACCTCTTTTCGGCACTCGCATCCCGCCCGGCACTTCGACTCAGTCTCCCAACAGTTCGATTTCGCCTTCGACGCTCTTCGACACCTTCGACGGTGCGCGACGCTTACTCGAAGCTCGGCACGGTCGTCCCGATGCCTCGCGCGTAGATCCCGGGACATCTTCCGCATTCGGCGAACAATAGGGCCACTTGACGCCGCTCGGCCAAGCGCGCGCTTCGCTCCAAGCCACACCGAAGTAGCCGGTCTTTCCCGATTAGGTATCGAACCTCGCGGCATGCCTTCACGACGGCTACCGGTCCGAAGTGGCCATATGTTGCTCTTCATCTCCGCGTTCGGCATGACGTCACTCTACCGATGGACTTGGTATGTGCCCCTCGGTGAGGCAGCTTCTTGAGGAACAATGCAAAGCCCCTTGTACCAGGGTGCCACTTTCGATAGTCGTAGCGTCCTGTGTAGTATAAAATCTGTCGTACTTCTCTCTAAAAAATACAAGATCTGGTTCCCCCCTCGAGTTCAGAGCTCACAAGTCGAGTTCGCCCCGCGTCTAAGCCTTCAACTGCGTCACTTCGTCCCTCGCTGCGTAACCTCGAAACCTCGTCCACGGCGTTTACTCGTCGATACCGTCTCGACGAACCCTTCGACTTCGACTATTGTCGAAGAAACTGCGAACCGCGTCCTAGCTAAGTCCACCCTATCGAATTGTGTCCCTTCCTTCTACGATACATCGAAGAGCTCTGCCGAGCTTCGATCGTCTCCGCTAACCACCCACAGCCTCCGAGTAGCTTCGACGACGTGTCGAAGCCACCTCGTACCTTCCCCATCGTTCGTAGCCTTTTCCAAGGGCGTTTCTCGTGTTCACTCGAACCGCGGGACACCTTGCTGCTAACTCCCCTCTCACTAGACTATAATCCGTCTCTCTAGTCCCTTTAGGTCGCACCCAGGTTAGGGGTTAGGGTTTCGTAGGTCGTATCACCGCTAGAAACTCCGTGGTCGGCAGCACCCCGCACCCCCCCGGCAGAGTTCCCTTCTACTCCGTTGCCTGCGTGACCTGTAACACCTGACCCTTCTCCTCAAACACCCAAGAAGGAACGAGCACGACAGCCCAAGCCCCGTGGGATCGCGGTACCCTCATCCAGGAAGTCTCCTAGGACTCCCAAATCGGGCGGAAAACTATCTTCTGCACGGAAAGGTAGCCAAGCACAAAGTCCAACAACAGCCAGTCCGTCGACGCTGAGGCGGAGGGCCGTGACGATGCCCTCTTCAGCAGAGACCCACCAACTGATGTCTCGACCTCTCATTCCGCAGTTGAGGCCTGGACAAAAGTGCAAGTCTGCGCGCCTTGCAGAGAAGGCGGCGCATCTTTCGAGAGCCACTCAAGAAGCCGTATCTCCGACAAAAAAGAGCAAGGGTAGGAAGAACTAGGTATGCTGGCATGGAAAACACTCTACTCCCTTGGTATCAGGCCCGATACCGTTCGTTCGTTGGTCAACATCAAATTCCTTTTTTTTTGATTATCTACTACATCCTGCCTTTCCTTGTTTTGGTCGTTCCAACTTGATGGCTGCGGGTAGTTATGGTCCACCACTCTCTATGATTTCATGAGCAATATTATGTTCCTGTATAGCTAGTCTCCTGCAGAGTCCCAGTGGCCACAGCATAGTGCTGACCGCCATGATTGTCGTGACTTGAGGTCAAGCGACAGGGGAAAACCTAAAAGCTGGGGGCATCCGACTAGATCTCACCGAAGCGATGGTGAGCAACGCTCAAACCTAAGGCTAGGGACAAGATAATATATTAGTTAGGTAAGGAAAAAGGAATACAACTGAAGGCTTACTGACCTAGGGACAAGAGGTCGAAACTGAGGTCCCTAGGGCAGCAGAGGCCGGCTTATATACAGGGGGAGTTTAGGGGAGGCTGTGCACACTGGTCCGTGCACAGCTGGTCTGTGCGCAGCATGCTGACGCGGCCCCGGGGGCCGGTGAGTCAGAGAGGCTGTGTCAGCGGAGCCCGAGCTGTGCCGCGCACTGCCACCCCATCTAATCTAATTGTACAGTAGATAACGACGCGTCCATATCCGGTATGTAGTACAGAGGTCGCGGGTTCGAGCCCGCGAAAAGGAAAAAATTACAAAATGGCTAG